AAAAAAAAAACAAGAAATAAGGATGTTTAAGTTCATCTGTGAAACAGATGAGAAGACTATTTTAAGAAGTTTGACATCGGAAAATTGGATCCAGCTCGGTTGAACTTATAGCATACTGGTTATGTTTGTAAATAAACTTAATACATGAATGCTTCAAAAAAACATTATTATTCATCTAAGACTGGTGCATGAAGGAAGTCATTTGGTAATGTTTTTGCCAGATAAACTATTTGGCTTCTGTATGTAAGTACATTTTGATACACTTTGATATTACAAAAATGTGACTTTACTCCATTTATAAAAGTAATATACAATTGTATTTTGGAAAAACAATATTAATATGCTTTATTTATATAAGATTCTAGTATTTGTTTTCAAAATGATTAACCCGTACTAATTGCCATATATTTGACTGACACATGGCAACTTCATGTAGGTTGAAGTATAAGTGTGCTCTACTATAAAGTTTCAGTAGCTGATTTTTCAAAATTAAGTCACTGGGCCTTTCTTCTAGACACATTTTTTAGTGTCTCTTCTGAAACACTCCTAGGTGGGCTTGAACCTCCAGCCCTTCATTTAGTAGCTGAGTGCCTGTTAACCATTTACACCACCCAAGGATTCCTCAAAATTATTAAATGCTTCATTTTTTCTACCCAGAGCCTTTAGTGATTTTCCTGAGCTAACCTCTGAAGCAAAAGCTATTGTAAGTCATTTTGTATTTCTTGTTAGGAAAGGAGATTGCGTATGATTATTTTTAATTGTACCCATTACCATTGCCTTTCAGAGAGTTCTCTATGATATTTGTGTAAACTTTGTCACTTTAAAGCTTGTATTTGCTGACCTACTTTTCAGATGAACGTATAAAATATACTGAAAATTATTGGTCGACTTTATAAAAATGACGAGTAAGCATTTAATCAACTGACATTTATACCAATGGTGTAAAAAATGAGGACATTCTGTTCATGATGCTTTCTTTTTTTTTTTTCTTTTTTCTTTCTTTCTTTTAGATGGGCCATCTTACGCTGGAAGACTATCAGATCTGGAGTGTAAAAAATGCTCTTGCCAATGAATTTTTGAATCTCCTCTTCCAGGTATGTTTATGGCTATAAGGCAGGTCCCAGTATTTCTATATCATTTCTATTATATAGGAGCTAGAGATACTATATCTATGTCTCATCTTGATCTTCTCTTATTTACTTAACTTTGGTTCATTGTTAGGCTACAAAACCACAGATAATTTAAAACCACAGAGAACATTATTCTGTATAGTACCTGAAAGATGGTAAGATAACAGCATAAGTGTGCACTAAAGCTTCTCAGAATAATGACATGAGAAATAAGAAAGGATATGGTTAATCACATTTGCCTATGTTGTAACTCATGGTAGAGATGCATATAAGCATATATAATTTAAATTGCAAAAGCTATCAAATTTACTATTTGTCTTCATTGCTATCTTTTTGAAAGGCTTTTCTTAACAAATTAGGCAATGTGAATGGAAGAATAATATAAAAAGTCAGCTGTAAACTCTTCAAAGTATAAGCCCTCTTCAGTTAGGAGATTTAGCTGTTTCTTTTTAAATTATTATTAAATATTTTATTGGGGGCTCTTAACAGCTCTTATAACAATCCATACATCGTTGTATCAAGCATATTTGTATATATGTTGCTATCATTATTTTCTTTCTTTTTTATTTTTTTGCCATCATTATTTTCTGAACATTTACTTTGTATTTGAGCCCTTGGTATCAGCTCCTCATTTTTCCCTCCTTCTCTCAGAGATGTTTCTTTCTTACATTCTTTCTTAGTTTTTTTTGTTTGTTTGTTTAGAAAATTTTAAAAAGACTGAATGGAAGAGTGGGAGGAACAGCTGCCAGGAGTAAACATTGAGTTATATAGCTTGTCAAATTTTAGCTATTTTATTGTTGTTCCTTTGTTCCACCACATTAAAAGAATAATTTACGATTTTGATTTTTCATGATTCTTCATAAGTATTTAAGTCACATTTAATAGATATAATAGTCACACTTTAGATTCTCCATACTTTATTTTCCTTCCCATAGAAAAACATTCTTTTAAAAGTTCAGAACAATCTGATATCTATCAAGTTCTTCCCTTTTAAATAAAGAATAGCTCATCTGCAGCAGCTGTGTTAAAATAACTTAGAAATCTCACGAGCTAGGGGGAGAGGGGAGGGAGGGGGAACATGAGCAGCCGATATTAAGGGCTCAAGT